TCCCAGTCCCACAATCTGATTTGTTCCTTTGCCTGCTGTGTTGCCTGAAAACTAGGAGTTGGTCTAAAGGCCTAAATGAGTTCGAGTTTGAGTTTTTTGATGAAAATCCTGCCCAGGAGCATCATATGTATCCTATAAACCCACCAGTAGGTATGCGATGCCAGCTTGCCCCACTGTTAGTGATGCTCAGTCTGGTCCCCTAGTCAGGGCAGTGACATCAGATTTCTCTGTTGAAGGGAACCTGAGTCACCCTCTCCATCAGCCCTCCCAGAGGCATATGTCACGCAGGCGCTGGGTAAGAGGGAAGTTCAGTACCATAAAGTGATAGGCTCAGGTCTGGGGCCTCTGCCTCCCCCTGGCCCCGTGCCCAGAGTGCGCTTGGTCACTTGGACAGACCGTAGGGCTTAGACCTTGGCTCAGCCAGTAGGAACCCTTTCCCGGAGGAATTCCCTGCCTCAGTCTCATTCTCTGAAGACATATGAGAACCCCACCCCAACTTGCTGAGGCTCAGATGTGATTGTGAGCAGAGACTCCAAGAGTCTTCTTCAGGGAGCCTGGGCACTTGGCATTTCTGTTCCTCAGGGCCTGCTGACAACACTGAGCCTATCTGGAGAGCAGGCACTAGGCCACGGGTGTTACACTTACTAGCTAGTTGATCTGTTCTTCATCCAGCCCTCTGTAGCAGTCGCTATTCTCTTTTATCCCCAATTTTTAGATGAGGAGATGGGCTTCTAGAATCCAGTCGGCCCTGGGTATTCATGGGTTCCACATCCCCGGATACAACCAACAGTGGATGGAAAAGGTAGTCAGGCCTACGATGGTTGTGTCTGTACTAGACATGTACAGGCTTCCTTGTCACTCCCTAAACACCACAGTGTAACAGCTATTTCCATAGCATTTCCATTGTATTAGGTATTATAAGTCATCTAGAGAAGATTTAAAGCATGTGGGAGGATATGCGTAGGTCATGTGCAAATACTACACCATATTAGGGCTTGAGCATTCCTGGATTTGGGGATCTGTGGGGGTTCCTGGAAACAAACCCCCGTAGATCCCAAGAAACAACTCTTATTTCTCAAGACATCCAGCTAGGGAGGAAAGAAGCAACCCTGGCAGGTGCTGCCCAGCTGGCAGGAGGCACTGTTGCCTCCAGAGAAGGGCCTTTGCACACCCCCAACCCCCACCCCCATTGCTATACCTGCTCACACCTAGGAGGCAGCGGGGCGTGACTTTGTTACTAATGACCAAGAGGAGGCTCTGGATCTGGCTTCCCAAGATCAGAGAGGTGAAGCCATCAGCCCACGTTGCCCACAGAGTTTGTTCTTCTGTGATGTGGGCACAGTCATGGCCATCACTTGGGACTGCTCTGTGGAGGTTTAAAATGGGTCTGGGCCTATACAGATGATCGTCCAGGCATTGTATACCCCATCTCCACCGATGAAGCTGAGGGCACCAGAGAGGCAGGTGACCAATCAGGCCCCAAGGAGCCTCTCTGAGCTACAGGCCTCACCATTTGTGGACCTCTGCCCTGACAGTTCCCATCTGTCTGAGGTGGCCATGGTGTCTGTATTCAGCTGGGGGTGCTGGAGGGGGTCAGAAGGGAGGCAGGTGTCACTGAGTCATTCATCTGGCCTTCCTGGCAACCAGTTCACAGTGGGTAAGGGACACCAAACTGCTCATGCCACAGCTGACATATCAGACCGCTTGTCAGTCTTGACTCATCAGTGCCTGGCTCCTGACTGCCTGCCGGGACGCCATCTGTGCATACTGGGCCAGTGCCCAGGGAACTTTCTGGAACCCTGGCTGCTGCCTGAGAACACAGGGGTACAGGAAGGTGGTGAAGTTTTTGATGCCCCTGAAACCGTCCACCAGGTATGTCTGGCTCTGCTGTTTCAGGCCTGTGACCCCTTGGGCCTCGGTTACCATATCAACAAAATGGGAACAACAAATCAGCTAAATGTGATTGACGCAGGGATTAGATGACACGTGAACATGCTCAGCTATGTCTATTTTCACCCATCATCCTGCCCCCAGCACAAGGGCCTGGCACACAGTAGGTATTTAGTACAGGTCAGTGGAATGAATGAATGAGTTGAGCCTTAGAGCAGAGCAGAGGCCCTGGGGCCTGGGGGCTGTGGTGTGAGGAGGGACGGGGACTCTGAAGCTCAGCCAAGTTCCCTTTGCAACATTTTGTTACCTGGGGTGGGGGTGCGGGGTGCAGGGCCCCACAGGGAGGAGACAGGTATGGGGGACAGGTATGGAGGATAGGGGAGAAGTATCTATCCCACTCCTGGGCAGACCACCATCCTGGAGAGAAAAGGAGCAGATGCAGGAGAGGGCCCACAGATTCACTCAAGCTGCCCCGTCCCACCAAGGATGATGATAAAAGTGTTCTTATTGAGATATTACTGTGTGCCAGCTTGAGCCAATTCCTTTGCCTCTGCATTTCATGTTACTCATGTCACAACAATCCCCTGGAAGACATTATCCCTGTTCTACACAGGAGGAAACTGAGGCTCAGCTGAGATACATGGACGGAGGGGAAACAGCTAGCAAGGGGCAGAGCAGGGATTTGAAGCCCAGGCTGCCCAGGGTGGATCCAGCCTCAGTTTGTTCCTTCTGGGCAGCCAAGCTCAGCCCAGAGAGCTGGGAGGACCACACAGTGGGAGTGGGGGTATCTAAAGGTCATGTCCTGGTGTTGGTCCCTGGAGCCCCTGGCCATACCTAGGCTTGTGGTGAGTGTCTCTGGCCTGTCGAGGCAGCCACCGGAATGCCTGAGGCCTGAGTGGCCCTTTGTGGATGCAGTTCCCTTGGCAATGAAGAAACACTACTGAGGTCAAGAGCTCACATTACCAAGGGGGAAACCCAGCCCTGTTTCCTTGCATGGCCCCCTGCTGGGAAGGGCCACAGCTACCTCCCATCCCCACCCTCTGCCAGACACCTAAGGCCTCTTTCCAGTGGCACAGTGGGGGCAGGGAGAAGGATTCCTGATGGGAAGTGGCATGCTGGCTCGTTAGACTTCTGTCCTCTGACAGGAGGCTCTGCCCATAACTCCTTCTTCCCACTGGACCTCATCCAGGAAGCCAGGGCCAGTGTGGAGTTGTCCAGGCCTCCAAGATCCCCCAGGACCATGGGGATGACACAAATGGGCAGAACGCCCCTTAGCCCAGCTCTTGCCTACTTTGGGGACCTCAAGAACAAGAGGACTCTGCATGAACCCGCTAACCTTAGGCAGGCCTTTCACAGTCCAAAGCTTTCTTAAGTGTTGCCAAGGAAACTGATGCAGCAGCCAGAGAGCCTGGCCCAGGTCTCCATGACAACCTATGACAGCCCATCAGGGTCCATTCATCTGTGATGTCACTTGAGCCCGGAATGGGTGCCTTCCCACCCCCACCACACTTGTCACAACCAAACGTCAGAGTCCCTGTCACAAAATACACAGCCCGTCTACCCCCAAGCCCCCCCCTACACTGCAGAGCTGAGCAAGGGGAGAATAGATCATGATGCCCAATTTATAGCTGGGCACGCTGAGGCTGGGAGAGAGGCCAGACCCAGTAGGCTGGAGACAGCCAGGACGAGAAACCAAGCCTCCCATTACATCTCCTTCCCTCTATGTGCCAGGCCCCGTTCTAGGTCTGAGGTTGAGGGGATGAGCTCTGAGCAGTGGTGGCACCAAGGGGTGGCTAAGACTCTCCCCACCCCTTGACTACACTCTCCATTTATGCCCCTCCCGGGTGGGAGTCTGAACCTCGAGGCCCTGGATGTGCCCTAACAGCTGGCCTGAGCTGGGGCCAGAGGGAATGAGGCAGACGGTGAAGACTGAAGTGGCTCCTGCTGGCACCTGATGCCCGGCGGCTTGGATTTCCCCAGCTCTGGGCAAGCGCCATCCCAGAAGCCGAATGACCAGGGCCGGGGCCAGGGGCAGATATTTTTAGCAGAGTCGCAGGCAGCTGCTTGGTGAGTGCTGGGAGGTTGGGTGGAGACTGAGTTCATCCTTTTCCTTCTCTGCGCCAGTGTTTCCTCCCCAGGATTCCAGCGCACACCTCCACCTGCAGCACAGAGGGCCTCCTGTCCCCTCTCTGCAGCCCTCTGCAGCCCTCTACGGGCCCCCAGGGGCTCATGGGTGACACCAATCTTCTCCCTGAAGGATAGGCTCATCAGGGAGAATCTTCAACTCCAGGACAGGGAGGGGAGTGGGAAGGACTTAGTGTACGATCTAGGACCCTTAAATTCTAGCTCAGATGTGGATCTGTGGGGAGTGGGTATCACAGGCAGAGAAGGCCGAATCTAGTAACTAGTCTACTTGCTGGACTGGGAGAGAGGGAAGAGAGAATCCACTCTTAAAGGGCCAGACCTAATTTTTCCCTAGAAGGGAGCTGCCAACTCGGCTCGTCTGGTTTACCCCATGCCCGCGTCCCTATCTCGCCACTCCCCTCTTCACACTTTCCTCCCCCCAGCCCCCCAATTCTTTAAACAATTTTTTTTTCTTTTGACACTGGTACTCAGGCAGATCCCCCACAGTTTCAGCCCCTCTACTCCCAGACAGCTACAGGGGGCGGGCCTCGGGGGCTGTGAGAGCCCCGGAGGAGGGCGGGGGATTCCCCGGGGGAGGGGGAAGGACACGTCAGCCCCCGCAATAGCGGGGGCGGGAGCGGGGGCGGGCAGAGGCTTAAATAGACGGTTCTGGAGCCGGGACCCAGCGCGGGCTGAGAAGGCGGTGGCTGCAGCGGCAGCAGCGAGGTTCCGATAGTCCGGTGTGCGAGTAGATTGTATCTGAGCCCGGATCCTAGTCCTGACCGTGCCTGTGTGCGAGTGGGTGAGTGTCCTGGTAGAGAGGGGTGGGGTGACCGCACCGTCTGGGTTGCAGGTGGATGGGCCAGGCCCGGATGGGTCACGGGTTAGGGCGCCAGGACCCTCACGGCCGACGGAGGATGGGCAGGTCGCCCCGGGTCCGTCTCCCTCGCGGCTTATACTGCCATCCCGGTTCCTGGTTCCCCAGAGAGCTTCCGACGCGATGACCCTGAACGGTGGCGGCAGCGGAGCGGGCGGGAGCCGCGGCGGGGGCCGGGAGCGCGAGCGCCGTCGGGGCAGCACACCCTGGGGCCCGGCGCCCCCGCTGCACCGCCGGAGCATGCCGGTGGACGAGCGCGACCTGCAGGCGGCGCTGGCTCCGGGCGCCCTGGCAGCGGCCGCGGCTGGGACCGGGACCCAGGATGCGAGGTCGGACTGGCCCCAGAGCTCCTCGGACTCGCTCAGCTCAGCGGGTAGCGACTCAGATGAGAGCGTTTACAAGGTGCTGCTGCTGGGTGCGCCTGGCGTGGGCAAGAGCGCTCTAGCGCGCATCTTCGCTGGTGTAGAGGACGGGCCTGAAGTAGAAGCCACAGGTGAGGGCAGGGGGCTATTCAGGGAGGCCATCCCAGGGTCAGGACTGGGGCTCTGGGGCTGGGGACCTGCACTGAAAGGCAAATACCATGGGTTTCTAAAGGCACTTTCAGAATCACGCCTCTCCCTACCTATTTCATAGAAGGGGAAACTAAAGGAGAAGACTTTGGTAGGGGAAGAAGTGCCCAGAATAGAGCGCCCAGGGCACAGATACGACTACTCCGTGGGATGCGGACAGGACATCCTTCCCTGCCAGGGCTGGCAGGAGCATAACCAGAGGGAGTTTCTAGAAGAGCCCGTGGTGGCCAAGGCCCCCAGAGGATGTGATAGTCACTATTTTGATAGACACTGTGGTCGGAGCCAGCTGGGGACTCAGGCAGCAGGAGGAGGGCAGGGAGCACCGGAGTGGCCACCCCAGGACATTGCTAGCTAGGGGGGCATGTAGGTGGAGGTCAGGCACGCCATGCCCCCCCCCCTCCACTTCCCTGCCCTGTCACTTCAGTTGCCCCACAGTAGTCATCTGCAAGTGGAGGGGAGGGTCTGGGGGCTCTGGGGAGCTAGAGAGTGTGGCCAGAACAGGAAACCTGGCAGTGGGGACTTTTAACAGCCAGCTGGTAACCTGGCTACTGGCCTCCTTGCCTAGGGCACACGTATGATCGCTCCATCATGGTGGACGGAGAAGAGGCATCGCTCATGGTCTATGACATTTGGGAGCAGGTAGGATAAAGGATGAGACCCTGGGTAGGGGTGGGCGGGGTGAGCAGGGGCCTGCTGGGAGTGACAGGCTTGTGGCAGAGGCAAGAGGACTGTTCGGTAAAGGTGTGTGTATGCGTTTCCCAGGACGGGAGCCGCTGGCTGCCTGGTCACTGCATGGCCATGGGGGATGCATACGTCATCGTGTACTCAGTGACAGACAAGGGCAGCTTTGAGAAGGCCTCAGAGCTGCGGGTCCAGCTGCGGCGTGCACGGCAGACAGACGATGTGCCCATCATTCTCGTGGGCAACAAGAGTGACCTGGTGCGTTCACGTGAGGTCTCCGTGGATGGTGAGTATGCAGCGGGCTGGGAAGGGTGGAGAGAGAGCCTGGCTGGGCTGTGGTCCAGGCAGTCTTGGCCCAGCTTGAGTCCCTGGGGATCATCAAGGCCTAAAAATGTTCAGGAAGAAAACTCAGAGGACAGGGGAGGGGGGAGAGCTGCTGCCTGCCCACAAGGCACCCACAAGGCTCTCAAAGCCCCGAGAGGGCTGGGGAGAGAACCAAATCCACTGGCAGTGGGGGTAGCTCAGGGCCCTCCTCTCCTGCCCCTTTGGCCCTGGCCTGGGTGGTGTGGGGTGAGTGGGTGGCAGAGAGTGCAGGGAACCAGGCAGAGAGGTCAGAGCCTGGATTCTAGGCCTACTGCAGTACTTCATTTAAATATCAGACTTCAAATTATTTCAATAAACGAATCTCCCTTTGTGGGAGATTTACCTTTTGGGGAGCTCCTTAAACACAGGCATGCTCTGCCTGTTGGGTGACCCAGCAGTGTTTCTGGGAGGACCCTGCAGATTCCTAAATGGCAGCTGCCACGGGGTGGCCAGGGTTTGAGTGGGCTCCTCTCTTACCCACCCTTTGTTTACTGGTGTGTGTCTGTCCCCACCTTGCCAGAGGGCCGGGCCTGCGCAGTGGTCTTTGACTGCAAGTTCATTGAGACGTCGGCGGCGCTGCATCATAACGTCCAAGCTCTGTTTGAGGGTGTTGTGCGCCAGATACGCCTGCGAAGGGACAGCAAAGAGGCCAATGCGAGACGGCAAGCGGGTACCCGACGGCGAGAGAGCCTTGGCAAGAAAGCAAAGCGTTTCCTGGGCCGCATTGTAGCACGCAACAGCCGCAAGATGGCCTTTCGAGCCAAGTCCAAGTCCTGCCACGACCTTTCAGTTCTCTAGGCCCCGTGGGCTCTCACTGTGGAGGGCGGACGGATGGGCGGGTTGGTGGGCTGGCCCAGCCAACTGCCCTGAGTGCTTTGGGGCTGGTTCAGACTCTGGGCCCCTCAGAGCTGCCAGCCAGGCGTCCCTCACTTCATGGTCATGGACAGACAGTGCTGCCTGGGGAGGTGGCTCCCAGTGGCCAGTGAGGGCTGGGTCTGCAGAGATGTGTTTGCAGGTCCATGTGTGTCCCCAGCGGCAGCCTGAGCCCAGCCGGTGGGTGGCCTGTGTGTGGGGAGAGGACTTTGCCTTTCTCCACGCCTGGGGTGCGCATGCCCTGGAGGGAGGCTGTTCGGTGTCCTGGGTATTTGTTTACAAACAGATTTTTGTAATAAAGACTATTTCCTGATATATCAGGGCTGTTGACTCTGTCTGTCCTCCCTCTGAGGGCTTCAGGAGCAGGAAGATTTCTGAAGTTGAAGGATGGGGTCTCACTGCCGCCTCCTAGTGTGTGGCCTGACTGTCCTAATGTTTGGACTTGAATATAGCCAGCTGGGACAAGGGGGCAGGGGGAGGGGAGGGCTAGGTGGGGGTTCAAGGAGCAGGAGGAGACACAAACCCCTCCCAGCCCCTGCTATCCAGATCCTCCTTCTGTACTGGGGTGTGGCATTGCCCAACTGATTGGGGGTCAATCACCCCACTGTAAAGAAAAGGAAACTGAGGCTGCCCAAGGGAGCACACCCAGCCCTGGGTCTCACAGCCAAGCAAGAACCCCGGATCTGGCTCCACAGCTGTTCTTTCTGCCTTGCACCCTCCTGAGGGGATGGGAACCAGCTGAGGTAGGGGGGAGGAGGAAGACTTCAGAGATTCTGAGGGTCGGTTTGCTAAGCGTGGGGATAAGGGAGGCACACTCAGGCAGCTTGACTACACCTCTGGGCTGAGGCTGGGCTTCTGAGGGGGCCCTCACTGTTCTCTCTGCTATGAATGGCCAGCCCAGAACATTCCATGATGAACATTGGCTAATTTGATTTTGGTGGGAACAGCTCCCTCTCTGCCTAAACTGAGAGGTCTGGCATTTGTACAGGAACGTGTGCCCACGAGCTTGTGGCTGGAGGTACACCTGTCTCCCCACCCACCCATGCCCAGTCAACAGAACCCCAAGGCTCCGTCACCTTTGGTACAGGTGCTTGTTAGGAGTTCACCTACATGGTTTCAGAAATGAACATCCCCATTCGGTGGTGGGCGGGAAGTAGTTGAGTGAGGACTGGTATACACTTCCGCCCATCTCCAAAACCTGGAGGCAGCATGGGGCAAGGTGGGGGACAGTTTCTGAGAAGGTTCTGGGTCAGGGTCCATAGGATCCTTTTTTTTTTTTTCCTAATACAGATTGTGGTAAGGATCCACATATTCCTGCCTTAGTTCAATTTATTCCTTCCACAGACCCCTGGGAGCCCTTGCAACCTGGTTGTATTCCTGATTGCAGCTTGTTCAATGGCAGGAGGAGGTTTGAGGGCTCCTCCGTATGCTCTGAGAGTCACCCACATGCTCCCCAGGGTGGAGTAGCTGCTCAAAGCTGCTGCTGCTCCCCTCCTCCCCCTAACATGCTTAGAGGCATGCAGTGGACATTGTTTTCTCACAGCAAGTGAGGGTCCCCAGGCCTGAAAAGGAAATTGGAGCCTTCCTGGCTCTGCCATTTATTAGCTGGGCAAACCACTCAGCCTCTTTGTGCCCGAGTGTGTGACACAGTGACAACGCCCCTTCAGAATGCAGCATGTGGGATAATGAATGTACGCGCTCAGAGCAGTGCCAGGCACTTAGCAGGAGCACAACACATGTGAGCCCCTCTCCATCCCCGAGGCAGCCACTCAGCGTGTGACAAGGCTGGGGGCAGCTGAGAGGTCCCGGCCTAGCTTCCAGCCTGGCGGAGACTAACCAGATACACAGTGGAAAGGACGTGGGGGAGACCGTGGGAAGTGCCAAGGATGGGAAGTGCCCTGGAGACCAGGATCTTCCCACCCTTCCCACTCTCTCCCCTCCTCCCACACTCCTGGGCCCCAGAGGCTTCTGGATCTGCTTGGCTGGCCTCACTGGGGGAAGGGCCCCTGGTCAGCCTTGCCACTCCCTCAAGGTCACCTGAGCTGGTTTAATCTTGTCTTTGCCTCTCAGAGGCACAAGACAGTCCATTGTCCCAGCCCTGCTGGTGTTGAGTGGCCAGTGTGAGGACTTGGGGAACCACAGGGGTGCTCACAGGCTGCTGACCACGCCCCTGCACTGGTCCCACTGGTGGGTGACCTGGAGCCCCAAATACCCAGTTCAGGTCCTGCACTGCTCATCTGTCCTCTGTGTGCAACCTCCAGCTCCTTGTCTTAGTTCCCCAAGCCAGTTAGGAGCTGCCAGGGCGGGGCAAGAGCCAGGTCATTGCTGAGTCCCTGAGTCTTGCTCTGGAGGGGCTCCCAGTCTAATGGGACAGACACACAATGACAATGTGGGGTCCTCTGTGCATGTATAGAGATAGCACATGGCATATAGGGGGGCATTCCCAGATGAGGCCCCTGAACCAGCCTGTGAGTGCAGGGAAGTTTCCTGGAGAAGGGAATATCTGCCGAGTACTGAAGCATGGGCAGGTACCCACCGCACAGAAGAAGGGGTGGGAAGGGCATTCCATGTAAAAGGAACAGAGTGTGCAGAGATTCAGCTGTAGATGCCGGAGCATGCATGGGGGAGGTGTGAGACCAAGTCTGGAGCCACAGAAAAAGAAGCAGTGTCCAAGCCCAGAGGCCCAAGGAATACCCACTGGGCCGTGTTGAGGTGGGGAGAGTGCCAGGCCAATGATCTGCCCACCTCCCAGGGCTGGCAGTCACGGATGCTGAGCGGCACCCAGCTTTCCAAAGTCAATGAGTAACTTGGGGGGCTGGGTGGAGCCAGGCCTGCCGCTGTGGGACCAGTGGCGTTTTACACTCCCCAGCAAGTGAGGCTGAACCACCTACCTGCTCAAGTGTCCGCCTTGTCCTACCCTACCCAGCCCGGCCTGGCCAGAGCTACCTGGAGAAGGAGCCCTCTTGCCTGGCGGCTGGATCAAGGGAGCCAGCCTTGGGCACGAGCAGGTGAGGGGCTGGGAGCAGCAGGGCGGGCAGGACTGAGGCTGGGGTTGGTGGGAGTGGAGGAGAAACTCTGCCCTGTGCTCCCCATCTGGGGAGAGTACCCAGGGGTCCATCTTAAAGTGGTTGTCGATTTGTCAATTTGTCAATGTCCTGTGTGCCCAGCTCCACGCTCAGTGCCGTAAAATGCTGAGATGAGGGCTGGGCTCCTGCCCTCGGGCAATCCTTGCTGGAGGGCAGCAGTGGGAGGCAGGACAGTCCCGGAAACTCAGAGCCGGGAGTCCTCTGTTCCAGGAGGAACCCTGTGGTCAAGTCCTCCGTGACCTTGGCCAGGCTCTGCCCTTCAGGCCTTGCCGACAACATGATGTGGCTACAGGAAGTGACCCTCAGGGTCATCAGGGTCTTTCCTGCTTCAAACTTTTGTGATTTGGAGGGCTGCTGGAAAATTATCCCTTTGGGGTCTGTGAGCTGTGGAGGCTGTGGCAGGAAGGAGAAAAGGTCTGGAGGGGAAACTCTGGTGTAGTCCTGGTGGGCCAAGAGCCGAGAGGCAGCGTGGCTGGGTCTGGGGGCTTTGGTGGGCCTGGCCTAGGAGCTGGACGCTCCCCTGAGGGGAATGGGGAGCCACGGGCGCTTCAAAGGGGAGGAGAGAAGGCTAGTGTCTATGTGATTGCTCTGGCTGTGGCGTGGGATGGAAACCCCTGCCCTCCGATCTGGGCTGCATCCTCACTGCCCCATCCCCCAGGCCCATCCTGACCATGGTCCCTGCCTGGTTGTGGCTGCTTTGCCTCTCTGTCCCCCAGGTAAGTGGGGCCCTGCACCCCTCCTTCACATCCTGGTGCTGGGGGTTGGCACCCTTGCCCCCAACTCCTGGACCAGTTATACTGACCATAGGAACAGTGGGGGCTTGGGGAGGTTCAGAGCTGGGGTTATGGGCCTGTTGTGGATTCAGGAGGTCAAAGGCCAGAGGGTGGATGGACTAAGGTATGGCCAGGCCCAGGGAAGGGGCAGAAATTCCCCTCTTCTGTCAGGTCCCAGTGCCTGGTGACAGGGGAGAATCCTCCCACAGGCACTCCTTGAGGCCCAGCCTGCAGAACTATATGTGGAAGTTCCAGAAAACTATGGTGGAAATTTCCCTTTGTACCTGGCCAAGGTGAGCCTAGGGCCTGCGGGCTCCCCTCCCTCCCCGCAAAGCCCTGCTTCCCCTGCCGCTAGCACCCCTCCTCTTCCCTGCTCTGTTTTTCTTCCAAACCCTGCTTTCCAGAGAGTACGCATGTGTTATACAGGTTGAATGTCCCTTACCTGAAATGCTTGGGACCAGAAACGTTTCAGATTTGAGACTTTTTCAGACTTTGGAATATTTGCATATATGGAATGAGATAACTTGGGGATGGGACCCAAGTTTAAACATGAAATTCATTTATGTTTCCTATGCACTTTATACACATAGCCTGAAGGAAATTCCCTACAATGTTTTTAATTTTTATGCATGAAACAAAGTTTTAACTACATTTTGACTGTGACCTGTCACATGAGGTCAGGTGTGGAATTTTTGACTTGTGACATCATGGAGGCACTCAAAAAGTTTCAGATTTTGGAGGATTGCAAATTTCAGACTTTCAGATTAGGGATGCTCAACCTGTGAATGTGTGAATGACTAACAAGATCATAATTCCGGAGGAGAGTAGAGCTTTGAGTTAAAGAATGAAATACTGGTGGTGAGGTTGCAAGCTTCAGAAAGAAGGGGTTACAGGGAAAAGAGTTCTGACTTTGAATCTCAGTCCTAGGCTGGGCGCGGCGGCTCACGCCTGTAATCCTAGCACTCTGGGAGGCCAAGGCGGGAGAATCACTTGAGGTCAGGAGTTTGAGACCAGCCTCAGGAAGAGCAAGACCCTGTCTCTACTAAAAATAGAAAGAAATTAGCCAGGCAACTTAAAATAGAAAAAATTAGCACACCTGTAGTCCCAGTTACTCGGGAGGCTGAGGCAGGAGGATTGCTTGAGCCCAGGAGTTTCAGGTTGCTAGGAGCCAGGCTGACCCATGGCACTCTAGCCGGGGCAACAGAGCAAGAACCTGTCTGGAAAAAAAAAAAAAAGAATCTCAGTCCTGGTGCTTACCAGTTGTGTGACTTCAGGCAGGTGCCACTCCTCTCTGAGACTCAGTCTTCCTACACACAAAATGAGGCCATTGGTGGAGGGCGCTTCCCCCAGGCCTGGCCACCACTCCCTTCACCTCTTCACCTCTGTTCTTCCCCACCAGCTGCCACTGCCCCGGGAGGAGGCTGAAGGCCAGGTCGTGCTGTCAGGGGACTCAGGCAGGGCAGCTGAGGGCCCCTTTGCTGTGGATCCGGAGTCTGGCTTCCTGCTGGTGACCAGGGCCCTGGACCGAGAGGAACAGGCAAAATACCAGCTGCAGGTACAGCTGGGCCAGGTAGGGGAAGGCAGGCAAGGCAGGGCCGGACACTGACCACGTTTCCCTGCCAGGTCTCCCTGGAGACCAAGGATGGACGTGTCTTGTGGGGCCCGCAGCCGGTGCGCGTACACGTGAAGGATGAGAATGACCAGGTGCCCCGTTTCTCCCAAGCCATCTACAGAGCTCAGCTGAGCCAGGGCACCAGGCCTGGTGAGTGACCAGGTAGCCAACTTACAGCATGGTCAAGTGGGCTTGATGGGACAGCAGAGAGCAAAGAGATGGCCAGACAGTCAGCACAGGGACAGGGCAGCCAAGGTCCAAGCTGTCCTCTCCCGTTTCTGTCTCATCCTGCACCCCCTACCCCAAGCGAGGGTCCCATCCACTCCTGGCTTCAGTTTGCCCATCTGTGGAGTGAGGTGAAGCGCTGTGGCTCAGCTGCAGAATCCTAACATGATCATGACATGGAAGGAAGGACAGGGAGAGATGGGGAGGCATGGGAGACTCTCTCCACTCCCTCTTTCCCTTACAGTGTACCCCACCCCCCGCCCCAGGCATCCCCTTCCTCTTCCTTGAGGCTACGGATGCGGACGAACCAGGCACAGCCAACTCGGACCTTCGATTCCACATCCTGAGCCAGGCCCCAGCCCAACCTTCCCCAGACATGTTCCAGCTGGAGCCTCGGCAGGGCGCTCTGGCCCTCAGCCCCAAGGGTGAGCCCGAGCTGGGTGTGCTGGGGAGGGAGGGTCAGGGACATCTGGAGAAGGTGGCATCTGAGCTGTAGGAGAAGGATGGGCTTTGAGAGGCAAAGGAGGTCAAAAGAGCATTCTAGGTGGGGAGAGAAGGAAGGCAGAAGGCCACTGAGGCAGAACCACACGTGCAGGGATAGGAAAGGGTGTGAATGGAGTGCCTCAGCTCTACACTCTGGAGCCCTGGGCCAAAGGGACAAGGATAGGAGTGGCCTCGGGGGTTGTAGTTTAGGACACTGCTGGGAGACCTTGGGACTGATGGCAGGACAGACCTGCACCTGGGAGCTCAGGCCAGAGCCACAGGCTGGGGATGGAAAGAAAAGTGAATCATACATCAGCCTGGCCATCCACCCGTTCACCCATCTACCACCCCCCCACCTATGCAGTCCATCTGCCAACACTCACTCATTCACACACCCAAACCCCCATCCATCCACCTAGTCAACCGTCCATTCATCCAACTGATCGTCTACCCTTCTACCCACCTCCCCATCCGGGTCGTCCACCTAACCCTCCAGCCCATCAACCATTCACTGTGTCCGTGGATGTGGAAGTGACTTTGCAAACTGTCAAGTCTTGGTTGGATGCTCACGATGGTGCTAAAAAGCCTTCTCATCCTTTGGCCAAAAGCGTATCTCAAGCACCTGCCATATGCTTGGTTTTGTACTTCATACCTTGCTGAGAATAATGCCCTGGCCCCTGCCCCCTGGCCCCTGCTCAGCTGACCATCCCACCCCTTCTAGGAAGCACCAGCCTAGACCATGCCCTGGAGGGGCCCTACCAGCTGTTGGTACAGGTCAAGGACATGGGCGACCAGGCCTCAGGCCACCAGGCCACAGCCACCATAGATGTCTCCATAGTGGAGAGCACCTGGGTGCCCCTAGAGCCTATCCACCTGGCAGAGCATCTCCAAGTCCCATACCCACACCACATTGCCCAGGTGAGTAAGTGGCTGTGGGCGGCTGAAGCAGCCCCATGGATGGTGTACCTGGGTCCGATTCTCGTGGACATTTAGGGGGTGGCTCTGGGACCCAGCTTGACCTCTGCTCCTCCCTGCACTCTTCCCATCATTTCCTGTCACGGAGTGGGGTGTTCAAGGCCTTGGGAACAGGCCCATGGCCCCTCGCCTGCCACCCTCTGGCAGGTGTGTCTCTGTGCTCTGTCCTCCCTAGCTTGCCTAAGGCTTCCTCAGGGAGAACAGCTGCCACATCCTGATGCCATGGGGATTGTCACCTAGGCCAGGAATGTCTCAGGCCTCTTCTAGGAATGCCCTGGGGTCAGGCCGAGCCTGAGAGGGCAGAAAATAAAATAACCTGGTCATTCAGACACTTTGGGCAGGGTCCAGGCTTGGATGAGGGCAAGGCCCCTACGGAGTTGCCACCACAATGAGTGCCCCAAACAGAAGGATCCTACCTGGACTCTAAGCCCAGGGAGGACAGCAACTTGCTTGGGGTCACATAGCAGTTGGGGTCCAGGCTCTTCCCCCAGGAATCAGCTGGGGCACAAGGGCTGACACAGATTGTTCCTGCCCCTTGGCCTGGGGTGCCCCCATTCTGTGTCCCCCTCCCAGGTACACTGGAGTGGGGGCAATGTGCACTATCACCTGGAGAGCCAGCCCCCTGGACCCTTTGATGTGGACGCAGAGGGGAAACTCTACGTGACCAGTGAGTTGGACCGAGAAGCCCAGGCTGAGGTGAGGTGAGAGGGAACCAGGGGTGCAGGTTGGGGGTACTTGGTCACTGTCCAGTTGGCTTTTGGGGGTGTCACATCCCCCACAGATGCTGAGGCAGTGCAAGAGAGCCCAAAAGAGCTGGAGCTGGCCACCAGAAGGGAGCTCAGAGTCAGGCCAGGCTGGGGCTGCCCTCGGCCCTGACCGGAAGCCCCCAACTGCCCACTACAGTACCTGCTCCAGGTGTGGGCTCAGAATTCCCGTGGCGAGGACTATGCAGAACCTCTGGAGCTGCATGTGGTGGTGATGGATGAGAATGACAACGTGCCTGTCTGCCCCCCGCTTGGGCCCCCAATCAGCATCCCTGAGCTCAGCCCCCTAGGTGAGCTATGGGCCTTGTCAGGGATGGGGGAGGGGTAGAGTCCCTATAGGCCATCCTAACTTGCTCTTCTCTGGGTTGGGGCCCAGCATCAGGCCCCCAAATCAATGCCCCTCCCCAAGACACACACACTCACACAAGCTCAAGTTCAGTTTAGCACAAAAGAGTGGGTGGGGTAAGGCCTCTGGGCTGGCTGTGGTTCCACCCAGGTGGGTGCTGTCTTGTAGGCACTGAAGTGACTAGGCTGTCGGCGGAGGACGCAGATGCCCCCGGCTCCCCCAATTCCCACATTGTGTATCGGCTCCTAAGTCCTGAACCTGAAGAGGGGGCAACAGGGAGAGCCTTCGAGCTGGACCCCACTTCAGGCAGTGTGACACTGGGGACTGCTCCACTCCACGCTGGCCAGAACATCCTGCTCCAAGTGCTGGCCATTGACCTAGCAGGAGCAGAGGGTGGTAAGTGCCCCAGTGGTGACCCAGGCCTCTGCCCCTGCTGTTCCTATCCTGGCCTCACCAATATGCCCTCCCCTGTGTCAGGCCTCAGCAGCACGTGTGAGGTCACAGTCACCATCTCAGATGTCAACGACCATGCTCCCGAGTTCACCACTTCCCAGGTAAGCAGACGCGGGGGAGACCTTGGGTAAGATGTTGGTGGGGGGCTCACCGCCCCTCCCCACCTCTCCAGATTGGGCCTATCAGCCTCCCTGAGGATGTGGAGCCTGGGACTCTGGTGGCCACACTCATGGCCACTGATGCCGACCTTGAGCCTGCCTTCCGCCTCATGGACTTTGCCATCGATGGGGGAAACATGGAAGGGATCTTTGGCTTGGATTGGGAGCCAGACTCGGGTGAGGTCCAACTCCGCCTCTGCAAGGTAAGGGGCTGGTGGGTAGGAACGGGGCACACACACGCACACACGTGTGCTCGATGCACCACGCCCCAGCCCACGTGGTGACTCTGGCCTCACTGGTTTCAGAACCTCAGCTATGAGGCAGCTCCAAGTCACGAGGTGGTGGTGGTGGTGCAGAACGTGGCAGAGCTGATGGGACAGGGCCCCGGCCCTGGAGCCACAGCCACAGTGACTGTGCTGGTGGAGAGGGTGCTGCCACCCCCCAAGTTGGACCAGGACAACTACGAGGCCACAGTCCCAGTGAGCACCCCGGCTGGCTCCCTCCTGCTGACCGTCCAGCCTGCAGACCCTACCAGCAGACCCCTCAGGTGAGCAGAAAGCCCAGCCCCTTATCTCGGCTGGATCTCTCCTGTCCCCAGGGCTGACCCCTGGGCCTCAGAAGGGACTCCCATTATCTATGGCCTGGACTATTTCTCAAACTGTGGCTAATGCCAAGGTTGTGTACCCTGGGGGGTGGGGATCAGGGCTGGATAGACTGGACAGGGTATAGAGGAGGTGTTTGGACCCCACGAGAGCTAGATTACACCCCACCACAAGTCCTTACACTGGGGACAGAGACTGGGCACCCGGGCACTGTTGTTGCCCCGGAGTCACAAAGAGGGTGTGGAACTTGAACAGGTCACATGGCCCTGGGTGATTCTGGGCAAGACCCCATATGTTGTCCCAGAGCCTCCCCACCCCCTGCCTTTCTCTGGGCCTCAGGTTCTCCCTGGCCAATGACTCAGAGGGCTGGCTCTGCATTGACAAGGTCTCTGGGGAGGTGCACACGGCCCAGTCCCTGCAGGGCGCCCAGCCTGGGGACACGTACACAGTGCTCGTGGAGGCCCAGGATGCAGGTATGGCCGGGCAGTGTGGGGGCCTCTGGGAGGGAGCACAGACCTCGGACAGACAGACGGGTAGGACTGAGCTTCCTCCCTGGGGAAGGCCCACATCCTCTCAGCCCCAGGCAGAAGGAGGGACAAGGAGCTGGGTCTAGTGTCCCCCTCTGAGAATGAGTCCACCCCCAGGCGGGCAGGCCTGGCGTCTGCCTCCCCTCTCCTACCACCCTCCTAGCTTGACACTCACAATCCCCCAGCCCTGCCGCTTAGCCCCAGGAGGGCCTCTCAGGATGTCACCACAGGGCCAGGCTGGGGCAGAGGAGGGTATGGAGGTGGGAGGTGGAAGGAGGGCCAGTGCCACACCTGGGGCAGGAGTCCCGGTGAGCTGAGCTCTGACAGGTGAAGGGCTGGCCTGGGGTGGGGAGGTCAGGGAGGCAGGCTTTGGCCCGAGCTGGGCTATGGTGCAGGCATTTCCACACTGGCGTGGGGGTGATGATGGATGGAGAGAAGAGAGGAGGGAGGAGGGCAGGATGAGACTTACGGGTTGTAGGGAGAAGGACCAGCCTGGGGACTCCAGAGCTCACCCTCACCCCAACAACGCCCAGGCCAACTCAGCGCTGCCTCCTTTGCAGATGAGCCAAGACTGAGCACCTCTGCCACCCTTGTGATCCACTTCCTGAAGGCCCCTCCTCCCCCAGCCCTGACTCCGGCCCCTGTGCTCTCCCGTCACCTCTGCACACCCCGCCAGGACCATGGCGTGATTGTCAGTGGACCCAGTGAGGACCCTGACCTGGCCAGTAGGCAGGGTCCCTACAGCTTTGCCCTTGGGCCCAACCCCACGGTGCAGCGGGATTGGCGCCTCCAGCCCCTCAATGGTGTGTGGTGGAGGGAGGGAAGGGAGGCTGTGGCCGGGGTGGGGATGGGGGGAGGGGGGTGGGAGGGGGAACACTTGGAAGGGAGATGCCCTTCCACCATTGGGGCGGGGCTGAGCCTAGGGGGAGCAGCTCCCAGATGACCTGTCCAGGCTGGTGACCCTGGTCACTGCCCACTGTCCCAACAGGTTCCCATGCCTACCTCACCCTGGCCCTGCATTGGGTGGAGCCACATGAACACGTGGTCCCTGTGGTGGTCAGCCACAGTGGCCAGATGTGGCAGCTCCTGGTTCAAGGTGAGGCTGGGTACAGGCAAGGTTGGCAGGCTGCAGTTCCTGAGGGGGCCACTGGGAAGCAGGGGGACGGGCTATGTGCACATGTACGCAGGCTCGCGCAGACAGCACAGGCCTGTGCACACTTGTACATTTGTGGCCAGGCACATGTACCTGTGTACACACAGGCACACATGCAGAGGAGCATGCAACTTCACACACACATGGATACACGCGTGTGCACAAAAACACATATATCAGCCAGCTGGCCAGCCTGGGGACTCCGAGCAGCTGGGGAGCTTTCCCCCACCACCCTTATCTTTCTCCCCCTCTCCCCAGTGATCGTGTGTCGCTGCAACGTGGAGGGGCAGTGCATGCGTAAGGTGGGCCGCATGAAGGGCATGCCCACGAAGCTGTCGGCAGTGGGCACCCTCGTAGGCACCCTGGCAGTGATAGGTATTGAGACTGGGCTCCTGCGTGGCGGGGGGTGGTGGGTGGTTGGAGCTGCAGCCTCTAAATAAACAGTGTCCCCTGTCCCCATGGAGCCCTAGGTCTGAAAAACGAACCCCCCAACTCTTCTAGTGATTGTGCTTTTGCCCGCTGTCATCAGTGATTATCTCGTCATCGATAACAGCACTACTGTTACATGATTGCACATTGACTCCACGTCTGGTCCCTGCCATGTGAATTATTCCATAGATCCCTTCCATAACCCTGTATGGTAGATCCTGGTATCTCCCCACTTTGCAGATGAGGTCACTGAGGCTCAGAGAGGTTAAGTGATTTGTTCAAGGTTACACAGCCAGGTTGTGACAGAGCCCAGGTCTTTCTAGCCTAATTCCTTCAGTCCTTCTGTCTAAACCACCGTCTCCATCCCCTTTACTTCTTCAGCCCCCTAAATGTTTTCCTTGCTTGTTCTAGCACACGCTATGATGCCCCTTTCTCTTGGAGGTCCATGGAGATAACTCACTGGCTCCTAGATGACCTCCACCAAAACTGTCCCACAGAGAAGGGGACTTTGGAGGCTGGGTGTACTGGAGCAGCCTCAGGGGGGCGAGGGCCTGGTGAGGACCAAGCAGGCCAAGCAGTCAAGCTTCTCCAGGCACCAAGACCAGAGTCATATCCAGCCCAGCTTTGGGGTGCTGTCTAGGGAACTTCATCTCTGTATTAAACCATTACCAATTGCAGGGAGTCCCTTGTGATGAGCAAATCTCGCAGCCTCTTCTGAGGGCTGATCCATCTCTCTTGGGTCCCTCAGGCCTCTTCCTCATCCTCATCTTCATCCACCTGGCCCTGGCGAGGAAGAAGGACCTGGATCAGCCAGCAGACAGTGTGCCCCTGAAGGCAGCTGTCTGAATGGTCCAGGCAGCCCCAGCTAGGAGCTTGGCCTCTGGCTCCATCCAAGCCCACTGGGAGAAGATCCAGCACTGGAGATCCAGCAGGGGCCAGGACAGAGTAGAAGCCCCTCCACCTACCCTGGGATGGAGGTACCATCACCAGATGGGTCCCCAGACCATGAACGCTGACTTTATGGGCTGCCCATGGGAACGCTCCAAATGGCAGCACGTTTGTTCGATAATAAAGCCTCAGAGAGTTGGGCTGGGCCCTAAGGGATTGCTATGCCCGTGTCCCAGTGTCCGTGTGCATGTATGTGTGTGTGTGTGAGTGTGCACACACCTGCCCCCTCATGCCTTCCCTGTCTCCTGCTGCACAGAAAGGGTCTGGGGACTTGACCAGGAAACAAGACTGGGGTCCCCTCTGGGGAAGGACACAGGGCATCATATGGGCTGTTGGTGAGATCTTGGGGTCACAGCAAGATGGGACATTTCCTGGGGCATCCAGAGCCCATTGGCCATAGACCCTTGGATGGGTTAACTCTGTGCAGGTGATGGTTGAGGAGCAGTGTCTTTGAGGGTGTCACTTCTGTGTTTTCCTGGATGTCATCTTTGCTATGGGAGGGCACAAACTATGAGACTCTGTCTTCTGCTTTTATGTGAGCAACTTGTGTCCCTGTGCATGAGCTACCTGCCCACAGGGGTGGTCAGAGGTCCCTCAGTCTAAGGAGGGGCCTAGGCAGGAATCTTGAGGGCCCCGTGGGGCTGGGACAGGAGAGGTGAGGCTGGGGACACGTCCTTCTGCCCCAGTGCAGACTCCAGGGCACTTCTGTGTTCCACATACAGGCTGGTGAGCACATGGGTACATCTGCAGAAAGTCAAGGCAGGGAGTCCCTCAGACGGTCACCACTGGGGAGGGGCAGGAACCACCATGGCTTATATCCCGCAGCTGCCGTTGTCCGAGGTGAACCCCTGCCCCTGCCCTAAGATTAAGCCATGTTCCCGTTGCCCTGCTGAGCCCTGACCCCACCTCCAGATTGACCTCCAATCCCTGACCCTAGACACATGCTGATCCCCCATGACCCTCTGGGGAGGTAGGGGGGACTTGCTGTCCCAGGCACCCTGAGCTGATGATGGTAAATCACGGGGAAGGGAGAAAAACAACCTCTGTGGGGCCCAGGCCCTATTTTTAGGAGATAATCTCTCCACTGTTGGCAGATTCTGTGGGAGAGGGGCCAAGCCCAGCTAATAGAGACAGGACAGGCAACCTGGCTGGCCTGGGGGAGGCTGGGAGACTCGACTAGGATCCCCAGCCCAGGGGATGGACTCTGAGGCTGGCCCCAGTCACTCTGGGCTCAGGGACCTCCATTGGAGGCTCTGCTGGCTACCCTAGACCAAGCAGGCCTCCCTTGCCCCTCTCCCGATCCTCTGATTGGCCTGCACCCTCTCAGAAGTCTTCAGGCTGTAAAGCTCTTTGGAGGTAGCATCTCATCTAATCTTCTCATCAACCTGCAAGGGCAGATTATCAGCCCCATTTTCTAGTGGAGGATCTCGAAGGTCAGGGAGGTTAAGGGACGTAGTTGGGAGTCTTGGAACCAGGGCACAAGGCAGAACTGTCTGGCCAAGGTCCATGTTACGTCCCTAGAAGTGTCTACAGCCTTCAGCTGGTCTCTGCTCTTACAGGATCCCCCAGAAGGGTCTTAGAGAGCACCCAGGCCAGCTCCTTCCTGTATAGACTCCTTTCCATAACCCTGCGAGGTAGATCCTGGTATCTCCCCATTTTGCAGATGAGGTCACTGAGGATCAGAGAGGTTAAGTGACTTGCTTACCTATAATTGTATAGGTGGGAAGGTGAATTGCAAAGAGATGGAGGGAACTTCCTAGGTTCATACAGAGAGTAAGATGTGTCCCCTGACCTGGAACCACCCTGCTCGCTGAGTCCTTGTTCTGGATGGATGGATATGTAGATAGGTGGGTGGGTGGGTGAGTAGATAGATGGATTGGTAGGTAGATGGGTGGGTGGTTGGATGGATGGGTGGGTTGGGAGCAGGTGGGTAGGGTACAAGCAAAAGAAAGGATGGATGACAGGATACCGGGGCAAATTAAGGCATCTGCCCTCGTTTGAGGGCTTCTTCCTTGGGCCTCTAGGCCCCAAGCCACTCCGTGGTTGAGTCAATGCAGGAGCTGATCACAAAGGCAAGCCCTTCCCCAGGGACAAGGGCTCGGTTTCCCTGAGCATTCTGGATGCATAAACCTCTCCTGTGATCCTCAGCCCCATTTTATAGAGGAAAGTGAGGATGAGAGAGGGGGCGTGGCTCATCCTGGCTCACAGAGGGAGAGAAATATGAAGCTGGCACTGGTCTCTAGGCTTGGCGGTGGGTCAGTGAGTGCTTGCAGGGATTCACGCTAGTGAGGCGGGCCTCACTCTGCAGGCAGGGCCTACACCCTGCTAGGGCGAGGTCGGGGAGAGGGCTCAGTATGGGTAGAAGAGCATGTGATCCATGTTCTGCTCATCCTTCTTGTACATTCCCAGGTAAATTGCTTCACCTCTCTGAGCCTTAGTTTACTTGTTCATAAAATGGGCCCTACTTCATGTTGGGAAGACTACACGACATAATCCCTGAAAAATGCATTTAGCACAGAGCTCAATAAATGTGGCCTTCCCCAATCCAGGGATTGTCGGGGGACTTACCACAGATGCCTGCAGCCCCACACTTACACACACTTCCTAGGGGCCCCACGAGGCCCAGGCTCTTGGGAGGGCGTATGGAGAGGGACCCCAGCTCCAGCCCCCACCTGGCCTTGCCCGGTGACCCCCTCTGGCCTTGGCTCCTTTCCAAAGCCTGTGCTCTCTGGTTCTGCAATGTTGAGGGGTCTCACAGGTCTGGGGCTGGAGGGGGTCGAGGGGTCAGCCCCAGTGGGAGCCTCACGCTCCCCTTCTCCCAGGCCCCTTCCAAAGGCTCAGGGCCAGATCAAAGGGACCCAGCACTGAGGGCTGGGAGGCGGGCTTGGAAAGAATGTAAACATGAGGATATTTTTAAACTTTTTCCAGCCCCAGCGATTAGGGCCCTTGAAGCAAGAGGCCCAGAGGTCAGTCCGGCCCTCACTCACGAAGAAAGAAACCATCTTGGGGCCTCAGAGACCCCACCTCCCAACCTACCTACACCCACCCCAGGACTCTAGCTTGGGCCTAAGGGCACAAGTTCTTCCCATGGTCTCACCTGCAGACCTCCTGCTGCTGCGGGATGACATGTTTCTAAAGAGAGGGCCTCCAAGGGATGGGGGGACCCAAAGGATTGCAGGGGGTGTGAGGAGCCTGCTTGGCAAGGCTAGTGTTGGGAGACTGAGCTTGGGGAACCCCTGGGCAGCCTGTCACTCCAGCAGGTGTGTGGGGGCATGTGTGCATGTGTGTGCATGTGCGTGCGTGCTGCAGTGTGTTCTGCGTGATGCCTATGTCAGAATGTGTGTGCGTGTGCAAGGAGCTCACCTCAGCCCTCCCTTCCTCCCCTTCCGTGGCGTCCCTGACCTCCTCCCAGGACCCGGGCAGGTGGGTGAGGTGGAGGAACAGGGAGCAGGCCCGAGGATCAAGGGAAGAGTCACCTGAGAACAGGGGGGAGATGAGAGCAAGGGCACTGGAACAGGGGGCGGGGGCTGCCAGGGTCCAAGGCCATGCAGTGAGAGCTACAGGGGCCACTGATGTGGGGACTGGGGCACTGGCTCCCTTGATTGCCTCCAGGTGTCACAGTGACTTGGGAACTCGCAGACAAAGCTTCCTGGATCTCCCCCTTCCAGCGTCACAGTGAGGACTCTCACCATGGGTTCCATGGCAACAGCCTCTTCCCTCAGAGTGACGCAGCCACCCTCACACACTCAAGGAGCGTCACAAGGAGACTCCTGCAGGGGTCCCCCACATGCCCTGTGGTCATATCCTGGGGACCCTTACACGGGGCACATGGAGACCGTCACCCTATCACATCCCAGCGACCAGAAAGTCGGAGTCAGAGTTCACAGGGCATTCAGAAGCCAGGCTGGCCTGTGTTATCAGGACAATGAGGGGCCCAGCCCCAGGAGAAGCCTCGGCTGGCTGTCTCCCAGGCTTCAGGGGCTGTGGTGCCACCTTGCCCTGCTTATGAGCACAGAAAGGGACAGCGTCCAGCTCCATCTCACACATCTCCTCAGTAGAGGGCAGGGCCCAGGACCCAGACCAGGATCAACATGGCAGCATGGCTCCCTCGAGATCCCCCCGATCCACTGAGGCAGCAGTGGCTGGGGTGAGGCTTGGGGTTTTACCATACAGTGTGGTGGGACTTTGGGCCCAGGATGGCGGGGAGCCAGGTGCTCAATCTGAGGGCTGAGGCTGCCCACCTAAAGTCATTGCTGTGTTGTCCCAAGTTGTTGGCATCCCCGTGTGTGCCGCTCACCAGGGCTGTGGCTATTCTTACCCACGTGGCGGTGGCCGTGGCGGTAGGGTCAGAGATAGTGGTTGGATGGGAGGGAGTCATGAGCACCAGCCCCTTATCTGACACATTCCCTGGAAACTTGGCAGGGACCGCCAGCCTCTGGGGGCCCCGGCAGGGCAGGGGTGAGGTGGTCACAGAGATGATGGGGGTTGGGCTCACTGCAGACGAGGCCCTGCCCAGCTGCCTTCTCCTACAGCCGGGCAAGGTCCCACCAGAACTGGCTCGGGGGGTTCTGATGGGATTTCTTCCCACGTCATTAAGACCACAAGTCATCCTCAGTTCCTTCCCAGTCCAACCCAGAGTACACCGCCATTGCTGAGCTTGCGACACTCCAGTAGACAATGTGTTGGCTTCCTCAGTGAAGGGGCTGCCTCTCTGTACAGGAGAGCACTGCGCTGTGAGCCACTGTCTGGCCACTGTCCTGCTCACTTCCTAGCTGTGTGACCTTGAGCAAGTTGCTTGCCTTCTCTGACCTTCAGTGTCCTCATCCCTCTCCTGGGCTACTGTAGAGATAACAGGGTCCAACCATCAGGAAAGCTAGCTAAGGGCTGCAGATTGTGTGTGTGTGTGTGTGTGTGTGTATGCACATGCGTACTCGGTGGGAGGACAGGGTGGGAAGAGGGAGGCACATGGGTCCCCCACTTTGGAGACTCCCGCCCCATGGATTTTCCATTGGCACGTCGGCACCCTCTCCCCCAAAATAGGCCCTACGAGCCGTGTGCGACAGAGCCCAGACTGAGGGGCCTTTTTTTAGCTCGCCTTTGACTGTCAGCTTTCCAGCGGCTATTTCGAGCCCCAGTGCCTAGGGGAGTAGGGCCAAGTG